TACTAAATCCAAATCAGTGATTCTCAAATTTTAGTGTATTCACAAGCATCACACCAGATACTTGTTCAAAATCCAAATCCTGGGCCTCACGTCAGACCTTGTAAATTCAGATCTGTGGAGAATTCTTAGTTCTTTGAATCGGATGGAAAAACCGTTATGCATTCCCACTGTCATCTAGATTCTCTTCCTCATAGTCTTATATAGATTAGCCTTTTTACTTTGTTTCAATTATTAGCATCTCAGAAGTTTTTTTCTGCTAATTATTGACATCTATAGTTTTTCTCCTAAATTCACTGATTGGAGATCTTATCCACCAGATCTCTAGGAAACTGTCCTAGATTCCCTTCCTTGTTTATCAGAATTTATCTTCCTCCCCCTTCCCAAAGTACACATTTGAAGTTCAGTGTGTGTGTGTATATTACACACAGTATATGTATTCATATTAAAGCATGCACACATGGGGCACCTGCCTGTCTCAGTTGGTAGAGCATACATCTCTTGATCTCACGGTTGTAAGTTCGAGCCCCCCATTGGGTGTAGAGATTACTTAAAAATAAAATCTTTTTTTTTTTTTTTAAGATTTTATTTATTTGACAGAGAGAGACACAGCAGGAGAGGGAACACAAGCAGGGGGAGTGGGAGAGGGAGAAGCAGGCTCTCTGCTGAGCAGGAAACCCGATGTGGGGCTCGATTCCAGGACACTGGGATCATGACCTGAGCCGAAGGCAGACACTTAACGACTGAGCCACCCAGGCACCCCCAAAAATAAAATCTTTAAAAAACAAACCCCACGAAAGTTCATTATGCTACTTCTTTTTTTTTAAGATTTTATTGAGCCTGAGCTGGGGGGCTGGGAGAGGAAGAATCAGGCTCCCTGCTTAGCAGGGAGCCCAATGCCAGCCAGTCTCAGGACCCCGGTATCATGACCTGAGCCAAGGGCAGACCCTTAACCAGTTGAGCCACCCAGGCACCCTGTACTTCTTTTTTACCAAAAGACCTACATTGGTACCTGTTAATGCTACCAAAAGAAGCCTGAAGAAGATTTTCACTTTTACCAAAAAAGGGCAAAAAGCAAAAATTGTTCAGTGTGTTTTGCAGCAAGCTGTTAGCATGTACCCTGACAGGGAGGGTGGCAGTGCAAGGCTCCTACCCTGAGAACTACACTCTGCATCAAGCCGCCATACCTTTGAATGTGTCTGTGAGCTTCTGCCTTTTATCTCCATATATTTTGTGCATCTGTTAGCAAGATGCATGCTAAAGTATCAGAAAGGATTAAGAAAGGTTATTTTGGGGGCTTGGGAATGGTCAAAAATTTTTCAATATAAATTGTAATTTCTTCACTTTATGCCATTTTGGCTTATGAAAGGTTTCATAGGAACCTTCTACTTCTACTTTTCTAGATGGCAGGGGAAACCTGTACCTTGCTAATGATTTTTAAATGTTTTCCCCACTGGGTAAAGAATGTATCTTACTTGTTTATATATATATATTTTTTTAAAGATTTTATTTATTTGAGAGAGAGAGAATGAGAGAGAAAGAACACATGAGAGGGGATAGGGTCAGAGGGCGAAGCAGACTCCCTGCCAAGCAGGGAGCCCAATGCGGGACTTGATCCAGGGACTCCAGGATCATGACCTGAGCCGAAGGCAGTCGCTTAACCAACTGAGCCACCCAGGCGCCCTAACTTGTTTATATTTAATCTTTCCTGGCAATATGATACGTTATAGGCATCCAGATGTTTGTATTCAATCTTGCTATCACTTGGTTGCTACTGACGTGATAGGTTATTGTCTTTATGCCTCCAGTTCTTGTATACCATTTCACTTTCTCTAAATTATTAGTATTTCCTTGATGCTTTTTTTTTTTTAAGATCTTATTGTTGGAGAGGGAGGAAGAGGGAGAAAGAATCTGAAGCAGACTCTGTGCCCTGAGCACAGAGCCCTGGGGCTCCACTCCACGACCACGAGATCATGACCTGAGCTGCGACCAAGAGTGGGACACTTAGCCGACTGAGCCATCCAAGCGCCTGTTCTTGGTGATGTCTTAAGAATAATCCTCTCAGCATACATTGGTCTTGAAGCCTTGTTGGCTTTTCCTGGTTAAAAGTTTTTAATAATTCCCTTTCCCATATGGATTATTAGTTGAAATCCCTACTTAAATGAATCTTCCTAAAATTGTGTTTCCGCATAATGAAAATCAAAGTTCAAATCATACACTTCAAACACAAACTCAAGATGTGTAAGGACCCTTGCTATTCAACAACTTTTATGTATTAACCACAGTACACCGGCTTTTACTTTTTAAAAGAGTTGGGTGTTTGGGGCGCCTGGGTGGCTCAGATGGTTAAGCTTATCTGCCTTCGGCTCAGGTCATGATCCCAGGGTCCTGGGAATGAGCCCTGCATCAGGAGCCTGCTTCTCCCTCTCCTTCTATTGCTCCCCCTGCTTGTGCTCTCATTCTCTTTGTAAAATAAATACAATTATAAAAAATTAAAAAAATAAGAGAGTTGGGTGTTTATGGAGTGGAAGGATACATAGAAATATGGTGGTTACCTCTTGAAAGGGGTGGTATAGTTTGAGAAGATACTTAGTTTTGTTTATTTGAATTGTCTGTTCAAATATTTGCCCATTTTTGTTTTGTTTTTAGAGGGAGAGGGAGAATCTTAAGTGCTGGAGCCCACAGGGGGCTCAGTCTCACAATCCCAAGATCATGACCTGAGCGGAAATCAAGAGTGGGACACTTTGAGCCACCCAGTTGCCCCCAGTATTTGCCCATTTTTGGATTGTTTTCTTATTGTTGGAATTTTGAGAGTTCTTTATACATTCTGGAAACATGTCCTGTGTCAGGTGATTTGCAAATATTTTCCCCTTATAGTTTGTCTTTGTTTTTTTCATTGTTTTGAGGAGAGCAGCAGCTTTCAATTGTGGTGAAATTGAGTATTTATGTATCATGTTTTTGGTATGGTATCTGAGAACCCTTTTTTAAAACAGTCTCAGAGATCTTGTTTTCTTCCTAGAAAGTTCTAGTTGAGGTATGTTTTGGTGTATGATCACTTTGACTTATGTATTTGGGTACAACTTATGATTTGGTTTTTGGTGTTTATTTTTGCATGTGGATGTCTAGTTGTCCCGGCACCATTTGTGAAAAAGCACTATCCTTCTCCACTGATTTACCTTTTCACTTTTGTTAATTGACCATTATTGTGAGTCTCTTTTTAGACTTCCTCTGTTCCATTAATATCTATTACATGAACTTTATAGTAAGTGTTCAGACCAGGTGGTGTGGGCCTTGTCTTCTTATTCAAAATTGTTTGAGCTATTCTAATTCCTTTTCCCGTATATATTTTAGAAAGAGCTTGTTGATTTCCTATCTCCCCCCCCCCTCCAAAAAAGAGCCTCTTGTAAACTGGGTTTTACATCATATCTAGAGATCAGGTTAGGGAAAATTGACAGTACTGAGACTTCTAATAAGTTTATGTAGTTCATTGTTGATATCACCGGTATTTTATAATTTTCCACATTGAGTCTTACACAAATTTAAATTTCTACCTAAGTATTCCTGTTTTTGATGCCATTTTAAATGGTACATAATCCTTACTTTATAGATGAGGAAATTAACTTACCAAAGGTGACACTATTATATGACAAAGCTCATTTGAAACTGACATGGGCTTTAAACTGCTATCCTGGTTTTAATTAGGATGTTAATTTTCTTATTCTGAAGCTGTTGTGGTAAGTGGTAGCAGAGAAGCCCTTCTTTTATTAAGAAAACTATCACAATAGTGCTTCTATTAAAAAAATTAATCCAGAGTTTATATATTTTCGGAGTTTGGGATTTCCAGAGCTGTCCCAAATCATAAACCATGTTCATTATTAGAAGCCCACAATGAATACAGTTGTGATCCAGTGTTTGAGAGGGGCAGAGGGAGAAAGAGGATCTTAAACAAGCTCCACCCTCAGCAGGGGGCCCAGTGCAGAACTTGATCTCAAGACCCAGAGGATCATGACCTGAGCCAAAATCAAGAGTTGGTGCTTAACTGACTGAGCCACCTAAGCTCCCCTCTTAAATAGTATGCCTTATCTTCCAGTTAACTAGGATTATTTTAATTTCAATTATTTATTATAAATTCATTTTTTAAAAATTTGTACCTTTAAGCGTTTGAATGCCTACTGTGTGGCTGCTCACACCCAGTGGAGATACCAAGATGATTTCTCAAACAACTTCCATGGGCAGGGCAGGGAAGGGGGGGTACTCTTAATTTATTACAGTGAGCACCATAATAGATGCATACACATGACAGTGGTAGAACAAAGGCTTTACTTGGTTGGGATTAAGAATAGCTGCACTCATACACACTTCATGGTTTGGAGTTCTCTTTTTAAAAAGAAAATAGTTTGGGGCGCCTGGGTGGCTCAGTCGTTAAGCGTCTGCCTTCGGCTCGGGTCATGATCCCAGGGTTCTGGGATCAAGCCCTGCATCGGGCTCCCTGCTCCGCGGGAGGCCTGCTTCTCCCTCTCCCATTCCCCCTGCTTGTATTCCCTCTCTCGCTGTGTCTTTCTCTGTCAAAAAAATAAATAAAATCTTAAAAAAAAAAAAAAATAGTTTGACAACTTTTATGGGAAACACATAAAGGACTGAGAGGGAGAAATCTGACAATCATTTTAGAAAGCTTTCTTTGGCAGGTGGTACAAGTTCTTAAGAAAAACCACATAATCTAGGCATTGCAAATACAATATGGGTAATGGTAGAGTGCAGGAAAGTAAAAAGAGAGATCAAGTCTGGGTTCCATTTCCAAAGGTCAGGAATTCAGTAGAGAAATATCTGATTGAGTGTTCTACATTAAGATTTTTCATTTGTGGATTTTCTCTAGTTTCTTAATAGCATCTGGATAAGTGAGTGTTTTTACAAAATGAGAAGAAAATATTAATTCTTAATCTTAATTTGAAGTGCAAAACATATTGATGACCTACACAGCTTGATTTTTGTCATTTATTTTTCAGGTCCCTTTATGAATGATGGAAATAGAAGCAAATGGATAGGCTTATCAGATAAGTGCTTTAATAGTCTAAATATATTTTATTATTTGTAATCTCTAAACCAAAACTTTGTTCTTTAAAACATTTTTTATTTCTCTTTTTAGGTAATACCAAGAAGGTTTACAGTAATAAGGTACTGGATTTTTTTTTTTTTTTTAAGATTTTTATGTACTTGAGAGAGGCTAGCAAGAGAGAGCACAAGCAGGGAGGAAAGGGAGGAGCAGGGTCCCTGTTCACAGCTAGATGGAGGGCTTGATCCCGGGACCCTGAGATCATGACCTGAGCTGAAAGCAGACGCTTAACCAACTGAGCCACCCAGGCGCCCTGGTTCTGTTACCTTTTCTGAAAATAAATTTGTAGTCTTTTTTTTTGTAAGATTTTATTTCTGAGAGAGAGAGAGAGCACAAGCAGGCAGAGCGGCAGGCAGAGGGAGAAGCAGGCTCCCCGCTGAGCAAGGAGCCATATGTGGGACTTGATTCATGACCTGAGCCTAAGGCAGATGTTTGACTGAGCGATCCAGGTGTCCTTGTAGTCTTATCAAAGTAAAATGTACCAGCTTCCCCACCCCCCCCCAAGGCTAATTGTATCTCTGCAGTGCAGTTACAGTGCCCCCACTGTTGAGCCTAGGTATCAGTCCTGTATAGAATATGTATAAAAGTCAACTGCCTCATAATAGCTGAAGAACCAGGTGTATCTGGTTATACAGTTTTAGATTTATCTGATGTTAGGGCATCTATAGTTTTAGGTGGCTTTAGCTGTTCAAATTTAGGTTTCTTTAGAGCCAGTGTCTATTCTTTTAAAGGGCTATTAGCTATATATACTATTGTGATTTTTTTTTTTTAAGTAAGCTATGCCCAGTTTGGGGTTTGAACTCAAAACCCTGAGATCAAGAGTCACATGCTCTACCACCTGAGCCAGCCAGGTGCCCCTATACTGATGTGAATTTAAAAAACAAAAAAAAAATAAAAACAGACTCACAGCACAGTAGAATATTTATGTGCCATTCATACTTTGGAAATGTTTAGAATGGCCATTAGATTGGCTTAGGGATAGTCAGCTTATTGATTGTATAGATAGACTCAATTTAATATTGTTTAGGTGTTTGTCATTCTTAAATATGTAAGTTGTAAAATGTAGTACGTAATTTTACGTAAAAGCCGTGAAAATGACATAATAGTTTTGAGTTGTTTGTATAGTAGTTAGCTATTCATGTATAATGATTTGCTATTTGAACTTCACGGATGTTCAAAGTCCAGCAGTATCCTGCTGCCAAACTCAATGAGTAAATTACATTCTTAGGAAAGTGACAGTTGGAGTGATAGTGGCGTGAGCCCAGTAAAGGGTGTGTATACCTGGCATACTTGGCCTGAGTTACAAATGGTTTCTTCTCTGAGTACTACTGTTCAGGTTATGACAGTTCTTGTAGGCCTCAATACTGACTATATTCTAACTTCTTGTTTAGCATAAATTGTGGGTATTTTAATTGAATGGGTATTTTAATTGAACTTTACAGATCAAGAAATTTTTTAAGGGCACCTGGGTGGCTCAGTTGGTTAAGCGACTGCCTTCAGCTCAGGTCATGATCCCAGGGTCCTGGGATCGAGTCCCGCATCGGGCTCCCTGCTCGGCGGGAAGCCTGCTTCTCCCTCTCCCACTCCCCCTGCTTGTGTTCCCTCTCTCGCTGTGTCTCTCTCTGTCAAATAAATAAATAAAATCTTTAAAAACAAAAAAAAATTTTTTTAAGTGACAGGATAGGTCCTTAAATCCACTCCTCACCACAATGAAAGGGGGAAAAAATTCTTCACTCTCCAACCTAAAACATCTTTCTTGTGTGTCACACTTAAAAGTGGCTGATGACCAACAATAATTTCACTAAATACAAAACTGGGTAATGGCATCAAGTAATACCTACTGAGTTGGCAGGGACTTACTGCACAAAACCCAGTGATAAATGATCTTTAGGTTCTAGTTGAGTGATGAATGGAGCTTTGAATTAATGATTCCAAAGCTTCTTCTTGCAGTATCTTAAGGAATTTTTCAGTAAGCGTAAACCTTCATTTTAATACCAAGGAAATACATACTCAATTATTCCCCAACTTCAATCATTACAAGACAAAAATTTAATAATGCAAATTGGTCAGTGGGTAGATAATAATCCACAGGGATAAAGAGTTACACGGGACTGTATTAGAAATTTAAAATCGATGCTGAAGTAAATGTTACATATTATCATCATCTGATTCATCTTCTTCCTTCAGTGATTCCTGTTAAGAGAAAGATAGTATTTAAAATCAATTTTTTTAATAATTTTTTAATTTTATTATGTTAATTTTAATACTGAATCTAATTAAACACACTGAAAATTCTTTATAACTGAAGATGAACTGACTTAGAATAACATACCCAAGCAAAGAAAAGGATAATTAAGTGTATCTTTCTTTTTTTTTTTTTAAAGATTTGATTTATTTGACAGCAAGAGAGGAAACACAAATGGGGGGGTGGGAGAGGGATAAGCAGGCTTCCAGCAGAGCAGGGAACCCGATGTGGGGCTCAATCCCAGGACCCTGAGATCACAACCTGAGCCGAAGGCAGATGCTCAACCGACTGAGCCACCCAGGCACCCCTAATTAAGTGTATCTTGTTCTAACAATCGACTGACTATATATATATATATTTTTTAAAGATTTTATTTATTTATTTGAGAGAGAGAGAGAGCACATGAAGGGGGGGAGGGTCAGAGGGAGAAGCAGACTCCCTGCTGAGCAGGGAGCCCGATTCAGGACTCGATCCCGGGACTCCAGGATCATGACCTGAGCCGAAGGCAGTCGCTTAACCAACTGAGCCACCCAGGCACCCTCGACTGACTATATTGATAGAACACACAGTATGAAAGCATTAAATGTCCTGGAAAACCCTTACCATTTTCACATACAAAGTGTTTGGAACCAGGGCAACTCTATCCCCACGGAATATAACCTAGAAAATTTCTAACCTTAGTTCAGTTCAACTCTTAAGTGTTATTTTATAGAAATCAACCGAGTTCCTTTGTTATTCAACACTTACTTTCATACCTTTAGCTAGAGTTTTCACATACTGCAGCTTACCTTAGCATATTTCTCTGCCTCTTCCCTTATATCTTTTGGAACAATTTCATGTCTTCCTTTTGTTACTGCAAATTAAGCCATATATTTAAATGAATTAGAAATGAGGACTACATTGTGATTTCCAATACAATAAAATCTACCCAATCCATACATATAATCTACCTAATGTTAAAAGTTGTACTATGAGTAATACCAGATGCTCCGAACTTGTGTTGTTTTCTCCACGTAAGATTAAATCTGTCCAAATTTAGCTCTTATGAAAACAAATTATACAATGATTTATCCTGATGCTATGATAAATTCTGAGCATTTATTAATGTGCAGCATGATTAATTTTTAAAAAGCTAGCCTTGAAATCCCATCCATGGTTACCATTGTAAGGAAAAAAAAAATGGTCATTTTTCAGTAAATGAATGCTTCAAAAAAGTAAACCATTCATAACAGTCAATTAGGCAGAACTTCCCCTCTTCAAAAATATTACCTTGTAAGTTTGTTCTGGCTTTCTTTGTATTAGAAAGGCACTGAGTGGTAGGACACACTTTGGCACTACCCATTGCACTTGAACTTATGCATATTTCCATTACTCAGCAATTCTACTCTTGGAAAAGAAATGCTACATACATATACTAAAATTGTTACACAGGACATCTACAGCTGCACTATTCATTATAGTTAAAAAAAAAAAGCCCACTGGAAAGAGCCCAACTAACCAGCAGCAAAAGAGGAAATGAGTAAATTGTGCGATATTTGGACAATAGAATACTATACAGCAAGGCAAACGAACAAATACTGTACACAACACAAACACAATACTGAAGTAAAATCAGGGATAAAAGGATATACACTGTAATTCAGTTACATAAAACTGAACAACAGGCAAAACTACCTATGAGTTAGAATTCAAGGTAGTGGTTACCTTTGGGGAGAAGGTAGAGAACTATAAATTCAAAGAGGCCCAAGGGGTGATCTGGGGAACTGGCCTATTTGTTGACCAGAGAGAGGACGGTGGTTATATGAGTATACCCATGTTATGATAATTCATCAATTCATCTGTTATTTGTGTACTTTTTTCTGTATGTATGTCATTACCAAATTAAGATTTTAAAAAGGGAAAAACAGGCCCCAATTTTAAATTAGGTTTGGTACAGATGACTCAGAGCAAATAAATGTACAAAAATAACTTACTTTCACCAACCCAGCTGAGCTCTAATTCAAAAGCTTTATCCTTAACTTCATCATGTACTATGTAAATTCTAGAATGCAAAAGGGAAAATTAACATTTACTTGGTCATTTACAAACATGCACCCAGTCAACACAAATTAGAACACCCATCCCTAATACAAGTATTTATAAAATTACAGACACATTGTAGTCTATATTTATGAACACTTCTAGAAGAGATAATAGGCTGGGTGGCTTAGTCAGTTCAGCATCAGACTATTGATTTTGGCTCAGGTCATAATCCTCAGGGCCGGGACCCTCCTTGAGAGTCTCTCCCTCTACCCCTGCTCTCCCTCTCTGTTTCTAAAATAAAATTTTTAAAAAGAAAAGACAATCACACAAGGATGGATATATAAAATTAAATACTACAAAGGAATGTTTACAACCCAAGTTGTTTGATACTGTTTAATTATAGACACACAACTCACAAAGATACCTCAAAAGGAACACAGATTCAAATGGGGAAAGGCCATTATTACAACTGTACCTTTTCAGGATATTTGTTTATTCCTTTCATTAAATGATTATTTTCAAAACAAACTTATTAGTTTGCAATTATTACTAGTCTCTTCAATCTGAAGTTTCTTGGCAGGTATCTTTTTAAACCCCTTATCCATTTTATAAGAACTATATGCCCCTTAACCTAGCCTTCCAACTGTAATATATTGCCAGACTGCAATAAACAAGGAGGCAGTGTCACACAACATAAAAGTATCAGAGCAAAGCTTTCTTATTCTACCTTTTCCACCATCTTCACACACTTTTGGAGGATATTTTTAAAGCCTTGCTATAATACAAGGAAGCATCTTAATTTCTAGACTAAGTAAAAGATACATAGTGCTCCATTTTATTAAATAAGG